ATAAAAAATTAACATCAAATTAAAATAACAGAAAAAACTTAAAAATAATTTACAATATTACAATAAAATTGATCATAAAAAAATATTAAATAAATATTGCACAATATTTTTCATATAAACTTCTCAGCAATACATTGTGACTGTGTTTTCAACACTTTTTGTGGGAAAAAACACATTTTTTGGCACAAAATAGTAGTAAAACAGCAGCAATACAATACACACGACCCTTGATTGCTTAAAGAAAATAATAACAACAAACAAATTTTATTTCAATATAATTTCGGCACATTTATGGCACAAATATACTTTTATTGAGTTCATTTAAACGCTTGACCCAAGCGCAGACGAGCAGTGAGCGGTGAACGTAGATGGGTGGTGGTGGTAGTGGTGAGTTGTRGAGCACAACACGTGGACACATTTGGTGGACAACATTAACAGTTATATATGTTTTACAGTTGTGCATATGATGATGCGTCTATACATATGCTTGTATGTTTGTATGTGCATGTATACAAGTAGCTAGTGATGGTGGCAAACACTCAAGGAATATCACAATGTCAGCGTTATACACTGTGCGGCGTGAAAATAGAGCAAAGAAAATATCACACACAAATCATAGTTTGAATGAAATGTAAAAAGGGCCAGCTGACAGTTAGATAAATTAAGTTGCCAGCGATTGCAATATAAAAATACAACAAAAACAATTATTTATAAAACACAACTGAACGAGCGCAAAAGAAAGTTGGACTGCAGAAGGCGGGAAATGGAAGATAACGGGTGTTATGTGGCATATACATACATATACATATATACACATATGTACAAATATGTATGTATTATGTGTGGTAGATTATTTTTTTAATTTTTTTGTTGAAAGGGTGGTGTGTTTGGCAGCCTATGGATCTGTTGCACAAAATATTACAAGGTTTGACTTTTAATTGTTTCAAGTACCCAGGTTAAGTGTAAACAAGTAAACTACTAAATTCCTTGTTTTTTTAATTTATTCCTTGTATAATATGCAAGTGTGTCAGTTACTGCCTATAAATAAATAAACGATATGCGGTGACTCATAAAGTAGTTCGTTAGGATAAAGAAAAATACTTTAAACAATATATAGTGTATGCAAAATTTAGAGAAAAAAATTGTAATATTTTTTTGCCAAAAAGTTACTTTAATCTTTTGGGGATATGAAAGCATTTAAGTTCTGTATAATTTTGCTTTCTAAACGTTTTTATTTTATTATTATTATTTTTTTGAGAATGCATTTTATCTGCAGTCTATTTAATAAAATAATGAGCAAATTAGATAACAAAATCATAAAAACGCTGTGCTTTACAATTTTGGACACGAAACAAAATAATTTCTATACAGATTTGTAATATTTAAACTTTAGAAAAAAAATATATAAAAAAAACTATCTGTGGCATATTTTTCTTTMTCTTACAAAAACTATCAGTGACATATATGCATGTCTTAAGGCACTTTTTTTATAAAAATATTTTTCGAAAATCTTGAAATATAAAATTTTGAATATAAAAAAACTAACAGTGGCATATTTAACATTCTTTTATAATAATAAATGTTTAAGAACTTATATTTTTACGAAAAATATTTTCCAAAAATTTGGAACAATTCTATTCTAATAAATGTTTCGGTTTTTGCGAGAATCCAAAAAATATCTTTTACGATTTTTTTTGAAAAAAAAAAATAAACAAATAAAGAAAACGATTCACAGGTGCATTTCATAGCAAAAATTAATATAAAAAGAAAATAAATAATCTYGATAGTTCAATGTGTATGACACAGTGGTCTGAACTGAACAACTTTTTCGGAGGTTGTAGCGCTGCTATGAACAATAATTTATGCTGAATTCGGAGTAGATGTTTTGTCAAATAAAAAAGTTTTCCARACGTAGAMATGATTTTGATCAGTGASTTTGTATGACATCTATATGTTATAGTGATTCGATCTTAACAATTTTTTCAGAAATTGTAGCACTTCCTTGAATTGAATAAYGTGTGCTAAATTCTATGAAGATATCTTGTCAAATAGACAATTTGCCATAAATGTATAAGTTCAATCGAAGAGTTTGTATGACAAACTAATTGAAATAAATGTATATCTTTCAATATTGCAGAAATCAAAATTAATTTAGGAAAAGTCTATAAATCTAARCACATTAAATTTGGATTCTGCAGGAGAAACATACACAAAAACATAGTACTCAGAGCCTTACATAAKACGTAAAAAATTAAATTCTGAGAAAATATTGCAAATAAATTTACCAATAGAAATTAAATATATACTCAAAAATTTTTTGTTTTATAATTTAAGAAACAACCATATACATAAGTATGTATATGTATACTGTTAGAAAAATATCGATATATTTTATAAATCGATAATATATTGTTTCATAAATTAAGAAAAAGGTCATATAGTGTTAAAAAAATATATCGATAAATGACATATATCGATATCATATAATGTTAGGGAAATATCGATAAATGACATAAATCGAACCACTACAGTTTTCAACTCAACAACTTCTACATAACCTATATGTCGTACTATATATGTATTTGTGACTTAATTTGCATTAACATAAAATGTGTAGCCTACCATTAGGCGCATTTCTCATTTACGACATTGTTATTGAAATATGGATACCACGGCGCTCAACAACAAACTTTATGAGTCACCTTGCACACCTTATGCATATATTTATGATTTTACTTGCATATAACTTTACGAGTGTACTTGTACTTGAAGTATGTATGTGTGTGTTGTTTTGTATAAATCAGTTATGAATTACATCTTTCGACTAACATATTTGGCGAATTTACAAAATAATTTACACAAATTGCTGTGATAGTATATACAAGTAGGCAAAGTGTGCGGWAGAGCGAAGTTGAAGACAAAACGTGTGTGAGAGAAGGAGAAAAGTTGACAAAGTAGAATCTATGAAATCATACAAAGGTGGAATACTAGTACTTATAAAGGAAACCGAAGAAGTGATTGCAAAATATATCGATAAAAAAAAAATAATATAACTGTATACAATCCAAGAAAATGAAGGCAACTGAAATAACGGAAAATCTTTAGTAAAAAAATAAATAATTGGACAATAATTGATAATTGTTGGAAAAAGTAATGATAATATTTAGAGTAGAATTGTAAACCAGGCATGCTAACCTGGACTTAATGGGAATGCCGGTGGTTCGCCCAAATCTGTGTCCGGACTGGAACGACCTTGACTACTACTGCCACAACAACTACTCACTGGGGACGATCTATGAGTTGGTGTGAAATTAAATCCATTGTTTATATTTAATTGAAACGTTGATGAGCGACTGCTATAAAAAATGAGCATCGAGAGAGAGATAGAGACACAGAGAGAGAGAGAAAGAGAGATATCGAGGCGCGCGTTGTTGGACGTGATTGGATTGATTTGGTTAGGTTTTCATTTGGCTAATTATTCAATAATTTCAAAATTTTGMTTTAGGTGAACGGGTGCATTTGATGTCTGTATATCAATGTATGTACATGTATGTGTTTGTAAGTGTATTTGTATTAATTTGAAAATCGATAATTATGTTTGATGGAGCTACGGATCRGTGCATGATTGCTTATCGCTGATTGCATGTGTGCAAGTGCTTATTCCAATTGTTTTTTGTTGTTTGTTTATTGGGTGGGCGTTAAATGTGTGCGTGAGGGTGTTGYTGGCATTTTTAAGTGTGTGCGTATAATTCGCGCGCTTCTATGCTTTCTGTTGATTTGAGTATATCCTTTGTAATTACCGTTTGCTGTTCAGTTTATATGTATTTGGGTGTTCGTTATTTTCAAATTTGATTTTTTTCTATGCAAATGCGTGCTGTAGTTTCAGTTTTTGATTAAAAACAAGGATTCAATATAAACAAGCTTTTTATTTTTAAACTAAACCGTGCCGAAATTATATTTTTTTCCATACAAATGACATGGCAAGCAAGTATGTATATCTAAAATTTTGAAAAYGTGTGTTGGTCTGTAAAAAGATATTGACGTTTTTTTTTCATACAAAAATTCAGTCAAAGTTAAATAACGTCACCCAAAACGCAAACTAACGTATCATCAAATTCGAAAATCGCTATCAGATATACATAATAATCAATATATGTATAACCAAAATTCAAATTTGTTTCCATATCATTGTATGATAACCAATACATAACCATTTTACAACCGCGACTAAAATTTTGTTTCAAAGCTTTTACCTTGTCTGTAAACTTATGAAAAGTGATGTTACGCTATTTTTCATTTTAGGTAACGATATAACTGTACATCAAATGACTTGTGCCTTCATTGAAATGATTTACTCTATACATTCTGTGTTGCTCATACGTCATGGTGTACTCTTGCTTTGGAGACAGAAATGCSATGTTGAGTATATGTGCAAACTAAAATGGTTTAGGCGCGATTTAAATTTAAAAGCGCGTTTAAAAAAATATCAACTTGGAAAATAACGGTCACCGTTTTGTGTATGTACGTGCTGAAGATATCATTGCTCTAAATTTTTCTTATGCAAACTTATTTAAATATGTTAATAATTATCGTATATTCGTCTAATTTCTCATATTAAGCGGGAAAAAATCAAAAGCTGACGCGAGTAGTATTAATTTGAATTATGATATAATTTTTAAACATTTTAGCTAATGAATAATTTTTAACTTACTACTTTTTATAAATTTTAGTGTTAATTTTTTTTATTTTTTTATTTCGTTTCCTGTAAAGCATATAGGAGTATATATAAAATCGCAAATAAAGTCATTGTTGTTGCGTAAATAAAAATTTGTTTTAAGTTTTTGCTAGAATTAGAGAAGTGAAGACGTTATTAATTAGGATGATGGTTACAGTTGAGGAAGGTAATATTTAGGGAGTGAATAGGGTATACAAGCTGCGCCGATTTAGACTTGACTCAGTTTGCGAGACATCGAACTGAATTTTGGCACACATCCCTTTCTCCTCAAGGTGGAGCTACTTTATCGAACCCGAGGATAACACCACTTTCTGATTTAGCTCCCACATAAACTGAACAATCGGAATCGAGTGCTTGTATGGAAAACTTTTTTGTTTCAAGCGATATTTTCACGAAATTTGAAATGAATAATTATCTAARGCAACGGTACAATCTGCAAAGCAAAAAACTGTATAGATCGGAGCACTATAGCATATAGCTGCCATACAAACTGAACGATCACTATGAAGTCCTTGTATAGGAATTTTTTTCATTTGACGGGATATATTTACGAAATGCGGCCAAAATGATTGTCTAAGACAACGCTATAATATCCGWATACATTTTTCAAATCGGACCACTATAACATCTAGCTGCCATAGAAACTGATCGAACAAATAGAAAAAAAAAGTTAAGYTCTTGTAAGGAAAACTTTTTTGTTTGACGAGATATCCTCACAAAATTTGGCATAGGAATATTATCGAAGACAACGTTATAATCTTCTAAATTATTGTTCAAATCGGGCAACTATAGTATATAGGCGCCGTAAAAACTTGCGATTAAAAAAATTAAAGTTAAAAAACAAAACTTTTTGGCGTGAAGGGTATTATGGATTCGGTGCAATAAAGCTTAACTTTTTTTTATTAATGTTAATTTTTAAATTATTCATTCTTGGTATATTATTATTTTTTATATATAATTTTTCTTGCATTCCTTCAGCGAAAATAGAAACTTCCAAAACAGTGGCTTTATTTGCGATAAAAAAATATATATACATACATATACATATGWATATGTATATACATATATTGGGATGTACTCTTTATATTTGTTTATATAAATCTTAACCTCATTAGGCTTCAACATTTACGTAATTGTTTAACAAGTGGCTCTCGCCTTTCGTGGGTCGATCTGTATCTCTTCTCTTTGCATGGCGCTCATCTTCACTATAGCTGTTGTTGTTGTTGTTTTTGGTATTTAGTTGTTTGATTTATTTCTTTTTGTTGTTGTGTATTACTTATTTAGCATTTCAGCTTGGTGGTTAGGTGTTGTTTGGCTGTTGGTATTTGATGTTTGGTGTGTTTTGGGTTTTGAAGGTATTTGGTGTTGGGTGTCTTGGTGTTTGGTGTAGGTGTTGGCTAGTGTAGGATGTGGATGGGAACGTTAATGAGTGATTTGTTCTTGTGATATGTAGATACCTGCTCTTTTTCGAATTTCTTTTATGCCTATGAAACCACCAATCGAATGCATCACTCAAATCCGACGTGCTGTTGCTGCCCTTCAAGTTCTGCTGTTCGTGTCCCTCACCACCGTCCGATAGCGGCGACTGATGCTGGTGATGATGAGGCTGATGGTGGTGGTGGTGATGGAACTGCTGCTGCTGATGATGAGAGTGGTGCTGGTGATGATGATGTTGTTGCAACAACGGATGCTGTAAGTGAAGCGGTTCGTGGTGATGCGTTTGTTGTTGTTGATGGTGGTGGTGGTGGTGGTGCTGTTGGTGTGTCTGATGCAGTTGCAGCATATTAGCGCCGCTACAACTGATCGTCAATCCCAAACGATTATTATTATTTATGTTGCAAGTGTTGTTGTTGTTATTGTTGCTGCTGGAAAAGCTGTTAATAAATTTACTAGCGGTAGTAGTAGAAGTAGTAGTAGCAGCAGCGTGGCGACGCTCATCAGCGACCATTGAGGTGGGCGCCGATGTGGAGCAATAGGAGGCATTATTAGCAACAACGGCAGCGGATGCGCAATCGGCGGCAGAGGTGCAGGCGTAGGCGTAGGCATTGGCGGATGCGGATGCGATGACGGAGGACGCATGGCATGTAGGCACATTCAGGGAGGAAGAAGTAAAAGGATAACATTCATCAGCCTCAAGGGTGGTGGCTGTGGCGCTCGCACTAGCGCAGGCGCTGACACCGCTCGCGCTAACGCTAGCGCTCACATTGGCACTGGCAGCACATTCATCACACGCGCACACAGGCGACGATGCACACAAATCGAATTCACGCTCAGACGCAGACGCTGCAGATGCCTCGCTAGAGGAGCAATTATTTAGGCTTCCGGTGTGGCATGCGGAACAAGTGGTAGTGGTAGTGGTAGTGGTCGTGTCACGACTATTCGATAAATTTGATGCTTTACCCGTCAATTCCGAATGCGAATGCGAATGCGCATGCGTGTTGTCGTCGGGCGGCCCCGGACCTGTGTTACATATACATATATACAAACACACACATATACACATATGCATATATATATATATTGTACAGATATAAAACACACACATATACACATATGTATGTATATAGTCAAATATGCATGTAATGGTAGTTGATAGGTGACACAATCGACACAAGGGGAAATATGCAGTTCGGCACCCAGTCGTTGGATCGATAGTCGGGCGACGACGACGTTATGCGTGCAGTTTTGGAGGGCAGGGGGTCGCGAGGTTGGTGGCGGTGACGGTGACGGTAACGACGACGGTGACGATTTCGATTTCAATCCATATCGATAGTGTTGTTGGTTGTGCATGGTGTTATTTAATTGTTGTAGGTGTGTGCGTACAGGGATGTGTGTGTGTTGTTGTTTTTTCATAGTGTGTGCATGACAGGCATCATTTCAACGTGCAACACGTACGCGGGTTGACAGTTGATTGCAGTTGTCGATTGCAGGATAAATGCACAGCGAGTTTTCCATTTTTTTTTTTTTTTAATTTTTTATTTGTTGTTTCATTCATTGGTTGGTACGTTGTTGGTTTAGTTTTTGGATTTTCATTCATTTCAGGTATAATTTTCAGTTTGAAAAAAATACAAATTTAACATTTGAGTTGCACATTAAAAGAAATATGCTTTAAATACGCTCCTCGGTGCAAGAGGAAGGCATTTAAATTTGWTTTTTAAATAATAAACAGAGCAGCTTACAACAAAATTAAATCGAATTCACTATAAATAATGTTAAAAAAATAGTTTACTTATTGCCTAGTGGTTGCAATAGTATAATTTGTAAAAGTATTTGTAAWATAAGAACCTATGATTTGATCTGATTTGTTTAGTTTGACGCTCGGCACATTGTTAGACGGCTTGCAAATTCTCTTCAGTTAATTACTACATACATAAATGCACTAAAATTGTTATTCATGATGTTGAAACGCGCGCTAAACAACAAGGTTGGTATTTTTTTTTTAGAGAGTAAGTTGAAATAAGAAAGTATCGAAACATAAATTAAATATCGATTAAGAAGTTAAATTAAAATAAAATTTTACAAAATTAAGTGATGTGTTGCAAACACATATAAACGCTAGCAAAATATACCAAAAAGGGTCTGCGAACTAAAGTTTTTTATGTACAGTGCAGCAAAACGAACATTTCAGCATTAAAAAAATATAGCGTTACAAAAATGTACATTTACAAAATAACCAATTTACATACATATGTACAAACATTAGGGTGTCTGTTAAAGAAATTATCCAACGCAAACAAGCTCTATATATTTACATATATACATATATATAATTTSAATCTAAACCGTGCGTAAATCATTTCACATTTTCTAAGTATTTTACATGGAACAATTTCAATTTTATCCTAAGCAAACTGATAACTTTGAAACAAAGATTTTCCATACCAACTTAGCGTTCTCCAAAAAAGTAAATTTTTTTTTGTCTTAATAATTATTACTTTACATTTTTCATTAATTTAGTTAAATTTTTAAATCGATAATCGACATCAAACAATCGATAGTTTTATGATAATTTTACCTTTTCGCCTAATCAAAATTATTTTACAATTCATATTSTAGTACCAAATTTAGCGCTCTTCAAAAAAGCTCACATATTTTCTTAAAAAMATCCTTTGAAAAGTTATACGCAGTCAAATTTATACTTCAAAAGTACGCCATGTCGTATAAGCAACAGAACAATTCTTTCAAATGTTTCACATAAACTCTGTTGCTCATACGCCATGGCGCACTGTATGATAGCTGTAGCTTACCTTTAACTTTAGYTTTAAATCATTGGTTTTGTGGAAAAAAATCATTGCACCTGTTTTGCAGAGCGTTAATTTTAGCAACGGTATACAACACATTGTAATGCCATATTATTTACATGAAAAGTGGCAAATGGCAGGCACGGTTTAGATTGAAAATAAAGCGTATTTTTAGCTTGAATATTTTTTAGGACAAAAACTCAAATTTCGTAGGAAAAAATAAACACTTGGGTAATAACGAACACCCTAATGTACATACATATGTATATRAGTTAATAAAGGCAGAATACTTTTAAACGTCACAACATTAATATTAATTATTATTTAACATCATTGATATCAAGACGCAAAAAACAGTAAGATCAAAAAATATCGGCACATCAGAGTTGTTGACCGGTTATAACCATTTTTCCAGCAGGAAAAAAAGGATTTTTTTTTGTTTTGATGTGGAATTTTCTTTATCAAATAAATACTTTTTTGTTTTGAGGTGATATTTTCTTTAAAAACATATTGTAAAAATTTTAGAAATTAAACTATTTTATTAATTATATTTAATGTACTTTACTAAACGTCAATTTGTTTTGAAATTTAGCCAATCAGGGTGGCCGCTGAAAAAGCTGACTGGCGGTATRCAAATTTTTTCTGGTTAAAAATCTCTGAAATCTCTAATTGAAATTCAAAAGTGGATATAACTGCTTCATATTCATACTATTGAGTTAACCTCTAATTATTTTCCAACTTTGAATTTCTCATTTGACGTTTAAAAGCTCTGCTCGATAAGGCAAATAAGTGACGATGTAGTCCGCAAACTTAAAAGTAAAGCGAACACAAATTTTCAAATCAACAACTACCTTAAAACATACATACATACATACATACATACATGTATGTAAATAAAAACGCACATCCTTCGTACATACAAAGAAACGTGTGTAAGTACATGCAGATATTTTCAAAAACACAAAATTTATAGAAAAATAAAAAATAAGAAAAATAAAAACAAAATACTTTCCAAAATAATTATTATACACAAAAAAGAAACCTCCCGAAAATAGCGGTGCTTGCACTTTTCACAATTCAAATTCAACTCGGCGTGTTTTCACAAACATTATATAATAGTGTCAAAAACACAGTTGTCATGTGAAAAGAAAAACAAAAATGTTGCACGTTCCTTGTTTGCGAACACAGCAATCAGTGCACAAAAACATAACAAATAATAAAATATGTTGCGATCAAGTTGAGAACGAGTGTGTTGAAAGTGATTCTTAATGAACTGAGTTAACGATACAACGAACAAACGAACGAGCGAGCGAGCGAACAAACGTAAATAAATAGACAATTGAACAACAACAAAACACAGTTTCTGGTCTCTGAGCATGATTTAAAAACTAATTGGTTTTCTGGGTGGATGTTTGGCTGTTCGATTGATTGGTCGGTTAAACGATTGACTGCTGGCAAGGCGCACACATCGCGCTTCTTCTTATTTACATGGCAAGTCAAAATGCTAAGTACATCAACCTTATGCCTCTCACGACTGAGGCTCTGTCAGTTATCCAATTGAGTTAAATATGTTTATATATTCATTAAACGTTTTTACAAGAAATTTTCGTTAATAAAAAAAATATTTACGCAAAATAATGAAGAAATGAAAATGTTTAGCGTCAGATTGTGAGGTGATAGGAAGTTTGTGTGTTTGAGTTTATGAGTAGAAATAAAGGTCGATATTTCTTAATTTAGCAATATTTTCTTGTTAATGTGGTAAGTGGTAACTAGTTCCAGGGCAACCCGCTATTTATAAACAATAGGCTAAACGAAACTTGAACTTGTGCGAAAATTAGCTAAAGTGACGTCAGCAGATGACRGATTTGAGTCACTGGGAAATTATGAAAAACGATTTCAGTTTAATGTTTGTGTTTCAAGTCACAAATGAAGCAACACACAACATCAGAACCCACTGCAAATTTTAAACCATTTATGAATGAAAATAATTTGAATTAAAGKGAGTAACATAAAAAGTTCTTCATTTCTGTTCATGTCAAATAATTTATTTACAAAATGTACACGCTAAGTCATTAATTAGGCTTTGAAAAATTGAAAATAATGAATAGTAAAATTTGCTTTCTCAATATTTATTTAATTTTTTTTTCGATAATCAATACTAAACAATTTATAGTTTTATCGATAATTTTACTCATTTTCCCACAAATAATTACTTTACATTTCTCATTAATTTATTTAAATTTTTATCGATATCGAACAATCGATAATCGATTTTTTTTCTTCTGCGACTAATAATAATTATACTAAATATTTCATTTACTTAAATTTGTATCGATAATTTATATCAAAGAATCGATAGTTTTATGGAAAATCGTTAATTTTATGCTGGCGCGATAATTTCCAGGCAAAGTCGGTTAGTATTCTGATTTCAACACATAAAAACTTAAAAAATACCAAAACTGACCAATTAGAATTCAGAGGAAATGTTTAATATTTATCAATAATTTGTTGAAATTTTTTAGCAATAATCATTGATCAGTAATTGATAAAAAAAAACACCTATTCACGTTATAGTAATACTTTTTTTTTGTAATTTTAATTCGGCAATCGATAGCTTTTAATTATAGCATTAGGTCTAAATGGTTAGTTTTTATATTTCTACATCAGAATTAATTTTTTCTCATATTTTTAAAATTATTTATTTAGTTAGAGAAAGCGAAATCGATAGTTTTACGATAAATCGCTAATTTTTTTGATCGTATTTTTTTGTACTGTATTTTTAATCGGAATTTTTGTATAAGATTCTAAAGTTAATATATGAAATGTTATCAATAACGGCGAAACTTTAGCAGAATGATCAAAAAAAGACAAGTTGTATGAAATAATTACTTTTGACGTAATATTATCTATAACAAGTAAGGAAGGGCTGGATTCTATTCATCCTAAGCATAAATATGCACCTTTATACGAAGAATACGCTCTCTCATTTTATTAGTTTTATTAAGATAACTCATATATTGCACGATATATGCGATGTAAAATCACCCGGAAGTTTGGAAATATTAGGTACATCTATGGGGCCTCAGGAAAGTATTGACCCGATTCAAATCATTGTTGGTATACAAAGACAGGAAAGGATTCTCTCCACATTTCGATAATATATATCTCATGCACTGACCGATATTTTGGTTAAAAATTAAACTATGGGCTCTGGCGTCTACATATTCAGCACCGAGAGGCTTGAACAGTTTGGCTTCCATTTATACAATATTTGCACAATTTATATACAGACACAAGTATAATGAACATTATACTAAGCGTAACTGCATTTATTGATCGTACAGTATATATATTCTACCCATATAAACTTTCTGTGCGAAACTCCGGCAAATACAGGTTCTCCAACTTATACTCGTATTAGGTTGTCAAAAAAAGTCTTGCGATATTTTCGCTAGTTGGCGCTGAGAGCGCGTAGTTCTAGTTTTATTCGTCGCATCGGGTCATGCTATACCTTTTTGGAAAGCTTATTTCACGCGCTAACACGTGTTTCATTGATTGTTGTTTCTTTTAAGTCGTTCGTGAGTTATAGCATCGCAAACATGGAGCAAAATAAAGAGAAAATACGGCATATTTTACAGGACTATTACGATGAAAGCAAAAATGCATCTCAAGCCGCCAAAAAAAATTTGTGCAGTTTATGGACCCGATACAGTTTCCATTTCCACYGCACAGCGATGGTTTCAACRTTTTCGTTCTGGTGTACAGGTGGTCGAAGATGCGCCATGCTCCGGAAGGCCTGTCGTCGAAAATTTCGATAAAATCGCTGAATTAGTAGAAAGAGACCGGCATAGTAGCAGCCGTAGCATCGGTCAAGAGCTGAGCATGAGTCATCAAAAAATATTTTATGAACAATTGAAAATTCAATAAAAATACCGCAAGACTTTTTTGACAACCTATTATTTCTGATTCGTCATTGTGCGGCGAAAATGAGCTACCCAAATTTCAATAATAAATAGAATTACCCTAATCACGCGTCATTCTGTTTTTGAACTTATTCGTGTGTGCACAATAAGAAAAAATATTTGCGAGTTCCTCCACAGGAMTTTAGACCAACCGAAATGAGTCAAAGTGTGTGACTTCAAGGGGGGTAACGGCGGGGATGAAGCCGTCCAATGTATATAAAATGGAGTTCTACACTGAAATACATATGTACTTCGGATATGAATTATGTACAATGTTTGTATGTATGCATGTTTGTATGGGTGGCAGCTTAACAGCCAGTCTGYACATGTAAATAATTGTTAGTAGTCAATGTTGTGGGTATGTATGCATGTAGTAGTATAAGAAAAGCAAGAGTACAAAAACAACAACACAATAATTTATTTTGGCTGTTTTTACAATTCTTCTCAAAGTATGTATGTATAAGACGAAAAAAAAAAAATAGTAGGCTTATAAGAAGCGCATCTCGACAAAGCRACACACAGTGTTGCCAAACTGAGATGTGATGATTGTGCGCATGAATTGAATAATGAAATAAATGGGAAAAAGCACGACAAATAAATCAGTTGGTGAAAGAGAAAAATTAAAAAAAAATAATACAAAAACAAATTAATATTAATGAACACAAAAATTAAAGAAAMAGCAAATTGAAGAAATTAACGCAAAATTAAATCAGGAGCCGAAAAGTCGAAATAATAATAATAAATTACTAAATAAGAAACCAAGGAAAAAGGAGAACTTAGAGGAGTTTTTCATTGTTTACTCTTTATTAATCACAGGCACCGCTTGTTTCCAGCTGAAAATCGATTAGTTTTTAAATCTGTACTTTGTACGCACTAAATTCTAATATTAATTTTCATAAAATTGTTTTAGTACCAATTTTAATAGTTATTTTATTTTTAAGATAAACAACGCTAGTGTTGTTGTGTATTATACACAATTTGCGTATTATGGAGCATTCAAAACGTAAAATCAACTATTTCATTCCATTTTAGTAGGCAAACAGTGTTAGGTTTTAGTTTAAGGGGTTTTGTAAAAATAAATGCAGAATTTTAATTGCTGTTAATACGCTTTCGGTTAATTTTGTTATTTGATTTTTTGTTTTTGTTTTATTGCTTGTTTTTTTTGTTTTGTTTTTCATTTTAATTACTATTTTGGCATCGCAATCAACATTCCAAACGATTTCTACTAAAAAAATATATTGTTGGTATTAGTGTATACAAAACTTTCTTCTTGCTCTTTTTGTTAAATATTTTATTTAGCACACAAGTATGTTTTGCTTGTGTGCTTTTATGCTTTTTCTGTATTTTTTTTGCACAAAAACGTGTTTTGTCAAAAGTAAGAAGAAATTCGCATTAGTCTTAAAACAAAAGTAATATTTCAAACTAAATTTACTAATTATTATTAACGTACAGTTATGTATATAAATTCTTTATATAGTCTATTTCAACATATGTATGTTTGTGTAGTTTACGAATTGCACTTGTACTTACTGTTGTTGGCGAGTAGATTTTCGTGCAACTTATCGCGTTGATCCTCGAGCACCTCACCCAAATAGGCGGCAACTTTGCGTGTTATTTGCTCCACATAAGTGTCCAGTTTACCCAAATCATCGGAGAGACCGACCAATTGATCGAGTGTACCGACCTGCAAGATTGGCAATGCTTCTTTAGAAAAAATTTTAACAGATTTATCTACAGCAGAGTGAACAAGGACTCAGAGTAATGTGGAATTTTAATATAAAT